CAGCTATGCAATGCAGAAAACGGTTTGTGTGTGTGCGTGTCTGTGTGTTCGTCTTTACCGATTTTTCATCTCGAGACCAGAAAAGCTACAGGGCTGAAAATTTGGGGACATAATCTACATGCACGTACGGGCCTCCATCCCCGAAATGGGCGGTCTTACTCGCGTGGTACCCGCGTAAGAGCCCGCCAAAATTTATTCGGGCAAGTTGATAACTCGCGAGCCAAAGCTAGAAAGCTGAAATTTTAAAGGAATGTTCCTTGTTCTTTCTTCCTTCTCTATTATTGAGAGCTACGGGCCCAACCTTGTTCATGTTTTTCCATTTTTATGCGTTTTTGCATATACGCAAATTGCAAAAACGCATATTGGGAAGAGTCTGTTTGTGTACGTGTGTGTGCCTGCGTGCCCGCACTTTTGACACTTTCAACTCGAGAACCAGAAAAGCTAGAAGGCTGAAACTTTGGGAGTATATTCCCATATAATGCTCGATCCTCATGTTTTAATTTCATCCCCGGCGGACGCCTGGGTGCCGCGTACAGACGCTTTAAAAAAGTATGCAAATTATTGGCGGAAAAGCGATCTCGGGAACCACACGAGCTAAGGGACTGAAACTTTGTAGGGATATTTCCCGTGCGTGTACTAGCTAAGGATTTCAAACTCAGCCTTCAGGTTTGCGTGGTACTCACATAAAGGCATATGAAAGATTTAGGGGGAAATTGCTAGCTCGGTAACCAGAAAAACTGGAAAGCTGAAATTTTGAGGGAATGTTCCTGTCCATGTACAACTTAAGTGTTTCAAATTCAGCCTTGAGGCATGCATGATTCTTACGTACGCGTACTTAAAGGTTTTGGCGGAAAAATTTCTCACTGAACAACTAGCTTACTTTTAATGAATGACTGTTAAATGGAAATTGTACATTTACTTTGCAAAATTTATGGTGATTTATGCTAGCAACCGCAAAAGGTAGGCGTAAAGCAACAGCCATTCATGCACCCTGAGTACTCATGACCTGAATATTTCAAATCCGGTGCAAAAACGTATGATAGCACGGGCCCGTCCGGTGTGTTCCAGCCTGGGTTACTGTATTTGTGCTTGTGCAAACGGAAATTAGAAGTAAATTGACTTAGTGAATTGTTGTTTTTCCGGTACCGAATGTTCTCGAAACACTTATTCTTTCGCAGAATTTGTGCAGGAATTAGAATAGAATACAATAATTACCTCCGACAACCACTAAGAAGGCGGAAATTGTATGAATTATATGGAAGCCGCAGCCCAGGGTGGAGAACAAAAGTTCAGTTGGGGGCGAAATGCAATAATATGGGAACTGCAGCCTGGGCTGGACAGCACAAAAAAGAAGCAAATTTTGTCTAAAAGGACACTGTGCTTAAATCGCGCCGCAAAACTGGCTTATAGAGATTCGCAAGCTGCAGTTCTGGAAAATGTTTTTTGCCATAAACCAGCCTGTAGCAAAAGGTGAATAGAATAACTCTTTCAGATCCGGCAAATGCCACCGCACTATTAAAGAGATATCATTGCTGTCGATTTCTTTGTCCAAATCTGTATAAAAAGGACTGTTTTAAAAGATTACCGAGCCTTTGGCAGCCACCGACACCATTTGCATCAACGCGATTGACATCAACCACACTGTCATCTTGGGGGAACAGCAGCGAGTTACTCAATAGACTGGAACCAATTCTTTCCTTCGTATGATTCTTGGCGGAAGCATAAGACGCTTTTTCGTTTCCATCCGCTCCGGTGGCACGCCGTTCTTTCAGCACCTAAATTCACAGGCATAAAATATATGCCCTTAACTAAAGACAGAGGTAAACCTTTTATAACAGCCAAACCAGTGCAGGGAGATTATGCTTTCCTATCAAGTCTGACTCAGCACTGGAAGGAGCATAGCTGGCTGCTACGCGA